ACTGCAAATAAACCTCAAAGTCGAATAATATTGTTCTATTTTCAGAAGTTAAATACTGAAATCTCCTACGAGGCCTGATAGATTACTCGTCATCAATAATTAAATATACCTTGGACAGAAATCCATCATAAGCAAGCTTGTAGTTACTATCTTGATGAGTCTTTGGCACCACCCTCTCATCCAACCAAAACACATGCCACTTAGACCAATCAACACCATTAACATGGGGAGGTTCCACCAGTTTCCTGAAATTGCAACATGAAACCACACGATCAACAAACCCCACAAGCTAATACAACGCAATTGCTATGATGCCCATTGAAGGGGATCGGAGCATTATAATATGAGACGAAAAATAAAAAAATTTCAATAAATAATAGAAAAGTCACCGGATATTATCTATCAAGGTGCCACCAGACAGAACGATGGTGAAAGACCCCTTCTCCTTAGTGAACTTATTAGACAAATCGGCGATGTAACTGGCCAGAGACAAGGCCAGATCATCTTTTTCGAAGACTTCCACCTTCTTGTTCTCGGACTTTGCAGTCTCAGCCATTGAAGCTTTCACTCAAGGGAAAACCTATCACGATTAACTATAACAGAGAAACCCCTCTATAGGGAAAAGCTCGAAACAGGAATTACTGTGGAAAGTGGAGCGACAAGAAGGACGAATTGAACTGATGATGTGATGGATTTAGGATTCGCGAAGATTGATCCAAAGAGCAACACTGCATTTCATCCACAAAAAAGGCCAAAAAAAAAAAAAAAAAGGCAACCACGCACAATGGTCCTAGGCAACAATCATCATTAGGCCCTGGACCTGGCAACGCAACAGCATGCGAAACAAAACGCACATTATCATTCTAATCCAAATTCATGGTCCTTCCTGCCCCCGCTGCCGTAATGAGGGGATCATTTTGTGTTAATTTAATTTACTTTTCTTTCCTCTTTTCTTCCTCCACTTCCCCTCTCTTTTCCGTGGAAATTAGACTTGCGGTGGTTTCTCTCTGTCCCCACACCCTCAGCATCTCCTATCAGCAGAATTCCAAGCCCATCCACTACAGTTTGTAATCTAATATCTTAATTATAAGACTTTGTTTACATGACTACAAACAAAATTTTATAATTAGAACCGGATGTAGCATAAAATTTAATCATCATATGAGTTCACCTCCACTAAGTTAATGATTAAAATTCACTCAGTGAATTTATCAGTTTGTCGTCATTGTCGTCAAACTTATTCTGTGATGCAAAATTTGGATGTATGTTCTTGTACTCCCATTCTGAATTATAGCTGATACACTGAATAAACAATACAAGGTCATTAGTGTGGGTGTGGACTGGATAATAAAAAGAGCGAGGTTTCTTCCCAATAACACGTTTGAACTTTGAAGTGGTACCCTCAGTTGCTCTTTTATTGCCACAAGGATAAATCCTTTTCACCGGTTATCTGTCACTGAGACATCAAAATTCAGCAGTATCTCCGTTCTCACATCAATATTGATCCAAAGAGCAACACTGCATTTTATCCACAAAAAAGGCAAAAAAAAAAAAAGAAAAAAGAAAAAGAGGTGACCACGCACAATGAGTCCTAGGCAACAATCATCATTAGGCCCTGGACCGGGCAACGCAACAGCATGTGAAACAAAACGCACTTCTACTCCAAATTCATGCCCCTTCCTGCCCCCGCTGCCGTAACAAGGGGGTCATTTTTTGTTAATTTAATTTAATTTTCTTTCCTCTTTTCTTCCCCCACTTCCCCTCTCTTTTCCGTGGAAATTAGACTTGCGGTGGTTTCTCTCTGTTTCCACACCCTCAGCATCTCCTAACAGCAGAATTCCAAGCCCAGTCCACCACAGGTTGTAATCTAATATATCATTTCCAATCTTAATTATAAGACTTTGTTTATGACTACAAATAAAATCTTATAATTAGAATCAGAACTACAAACAAAATCTTATAATTAAGACTGGATATAACATTAAATTTTATCATCATATGAGTTCACCTCCACTAACTTAATAATTAAAATTCACTCAACGTAAGGTAGGCTTTTTACCAAAATTTATCAGTTTGTCGTCATTGTCGTCAAACTTATTCTGTGATGCAAAATTTGGATGCATTTTTTTTTTTGTATTCCCATTCTGAATTATAGTTGATACACTGAATAAACAATACATGGTCATTAGTGTGGGTGTGAATAATAAAAAGAGCGAGGTTTCTTCCCAATAACACGTTTGGACCTTGAAGTTGTTCTTTTATTGCCACAAGGATAAATCCTTTCCACCGGTTATCTGTCACTGAGACATCAAAATTGTTCTCACATCAAAATTAACAGTACAAACACAAATACACAAGCACAACACGTGGATCCATATCTTAGCTGAGGGATCTACAGCTTTGAAGCTGCTCCTTTATCTAAGAACCATTTTAACTCCTCCTCAGGCGATACCAATGCAACAGGCAGCTTATCAGAATTCTCGGTGGCTCCAAGTGCAGAGTGAACTGCATCTGCTTTACCAGCACCGGTTGATACAATTGCAGTGTAAGCTGAAGAATTAATGACCGGAAAAGTAAAAGTTATTCTCTCCGGGGGTGGTTTTGGCGAGTCTTTGATGAAGGCAACCCATTTGTTACTCTCTTTCATGAGAGGATGCCCAGGGAACAGAGAAGCCACATGCCCATCAGGGCCCATACCAAGCAAGATCAGATCAAATTTTGGAAACCCGCTGACTGATGATACTGCTATCACATTGTTCTTGACCAAGTGTCTAACACATGTTTCATAATCATCAGCTGCTGCCTCAGCTGATAAGGCATCATTGATGGCATATACATTGCCAGGAGGAATTGGAACCTGCCAAGAGAAACATGCAGAAAGCATTAACTGGTAAGTTTGACCATAAAGCATCGGATGCAGAAAGATACTATGTCACAGCCAATTGTAGTGTTTTAAAGCATTATAGATATGAATAGCCTCTGAATGGCGTTCAATCCAAAAAGGAAGGCTTCAGAACTAGTGAGAATTTACATATCAGACTTGTGAACATCGAGAATACTATTCAATCAAACAAGGAAGGCTTCTGAAATTCTAAACAGTGTTTAGTGAGATTATGATGTTCACTTATCACAATTAACCCCATAGTTTAGTAACATCTCTGTGATACTTTATTCTTGGGCTCACTTCTTCACTTAAATATTTTCAAAAGAGGTTTTTGAGGAAAATATATTCTATACGATTCCTCGAAGGCATTACTCACTATATTTTTTAACAACGCCCTCAACTCAAACAGATACGCATTTCAATGGCAGAAGCAGGGCCAGTTAAAAGTCCCACATTTTAAACTTGAAACTAACCCTCCTTTCTTACCACAATGGAATGAAACAAGAATGCTGTTTTATTTGGGAAAAAAAATAACACTAATAAATTCCTTAGCAGTAGAAAACTTAAATCCTCTATGACACAATAATTCGTGATCAATATACCTTGGAGAGAAATCCATCATAAGCAAGCTTGTAGTTACTGTCTTCATGAGTCTTAGGCACTACCCTCTCATCCACCCAAAACACATGCCACCTAGACCATTCAATAGCATCAACATGGGGCGGTTCCACCAGTTTCCTGACATAAAATTTCCCCGTGTGAGAAACTACTATTCATGTTCTAAGATCAACAAACTCCCCAAGCTAATCCATTGCAATTGGTACAAAAACCCATCGGAAAAGAAAATCGGAGCATTCTAAAACGGAGAAGGCACGATAGTAAACTGACCTGAGATGATGAATCAACGACCCACCAGACAAAGCGACCGTAAAAGCTCCTCGCTCTTTAGTGAACTTAGCAGACAGATCGGCGACGTAATCGGCCAAAGACACGGCCAGCTCATCCGTTTCGAAGACTTCCACCTTCTTGCTCACTGACTTTGCAGTCTCCGCCGTCGACATCTTCACTATGGGGCAAAATCTCTTGAGATTCACGCAAAACAGAGAAACCCCTTTATTGGTAAGAGCGGGACTCAGAAATTTATGAGAAAGCTGGGGCGAGAAGAAGGAAGGAGTTGAGGATGATGGTGGATTTAGGATTCGCGCAGACGGGGAAAACAAAGGGGAGGCGCCAGCGGCCATTCAAAAAGCGCTCACCCTCTTTACAGGAGCAGAGTGGTTGCTACGCTTTTATCACTAGTCAATGGAATTGGGAACAAAACCGCACATGAACGAAACCTGCAAGTACCATTCCAATTGTGACGCTTCGCTTGAGAAAAGGGACGCTCTGACCCCTGTGAATGAGATCATACCCTTGGCTTCGTTACAAGCTCCAATTTACGGGTAACATATTGTTCCCATTGATTACTATTTTCTGTTTTGTTTTTTGTAGGAAGCTTAATTTTTTAATGGAAAACTGAAGCATATTATAATACAATTTGACGGTGCCAAGATGAAATATGTTTTTGTATATTATTTTTTAAATTTCCTCCCATCTTTATACAAGAGTTTGATAAGAAAGAAAATCCCTACTATGTATAATAAATAGAGATATTTTGGATGGGAGACAAATTAAATTAATGCTTACATTTAAGATTAAAGTAAAACTTTTTGTATAACTAATATAAATTACTTTAATGACAACACCTAGATAGTTTTAGCAAAATACTCTTTCGGTCTTTAATATAAGACCTAATTATTGAGTTAGTTTTGGTTCTAAATATAAGGTGCATTTTTCATATTTATCAATTTTTTCTAAATTACTCATATATATACTCCCTCAACCATAATCAAATAGAAGAGGGAGAGAGGTATTAAGAAAGATGATTACGGTGTTTTAGGAAAAATATGTCATATTTCTTACAATTAACTAACTTACCTAACTTTCTTAATCTAATCAAATTAGTTAAATGGGTCTTATATTAAAGACTGGAAGAGTACTATAAACCGCGCACTTCATATTTAATTTATAATAAGACCTGTTCTAGTTCATAAAATACTAATAATTGTTTCTAGAGTTTATAGTAAGACTGGTTCGAGTTCATATCTCAAAGAACTAGGCTTTTACATTCCATCTTTCCCTTGTACATTTAACTGAGAGGTGCCAGACAAAGGCACTGCTAATCAGAGCTTCACATAAAAACCAGAGAGACTAATATAGTTGCTCTACACGCGCAGGTTAAATAGCTTAGAAGCGGCACCTTTGTCCAAGTACCACTTCAATTGGCCATCAACAGGGGATACCAATTCAACAGGAAGCTTGTAACCTTTCTGATCATCTTCCAATACAGACTCAACTGTGTTTGCTTTCCCAGCCCCCGAGACCACAATTGCTATGCGGGAAGAAGCATTAATCACAGGCAACGTAAAAGTGATTCTCTCTGCCGGTGGAATTGGTGAGTCCCTTAGGAAGGCAACCCATTTCTGATTTTCCTGCAGAAGAGGATGACCTGAGAACAGAGAAGCCACGTGGCCATCAGGACCCATATCCAGCAGCATCAAGTCAAATTTTGGAAGCCCAGTGGATGATGAAGCTATCACTCTGCTCTCAACCAAGCTTCTCACAGTTTCCGCGTAAGCTTCGGCTGCTTTATCAGCTGGTTGGGTATCATCAACGGCATGTATATTGGAATCAGGAATTCGCACCTCCCCAACAACGTTAAAAACCAAATCAGACTTACAGTAAAATTTGTCGGGCAATAATATAGAACACGGCAATGTGTGCACAGACATGAAGTCATATATAATAGATACACATGAATTTTGTAGGGAACATATATACCCTGGAGAGAAATCTATCGTGAACGAGCTTGTAGTTACTTTCCAGGTGATTCTTTGGTACGGCTCGTTCATCCGCTAAAAAAACATGCCACTTAGACCAATCAACAGAACCAACATATGGATCTTCAGCTAATTTCCTGAGAAGTCATCAAACCCAGAAAAAAAAAAATTATCAAACTTTCTCACCACACGAGGAGTATATAAGTCGAGTGGCTCTCGGTCCAAAAAAGTGTTCACCTGAGGTACTTGACAGAAGATCCACCAGACAAAACAACGGTGAAAGCCCCTCTCTCTTCTGTAAATTTCTTAGAGAGTTCGGAAACATCATGGGCCAAAGTCACAGCAAGATGCTCCTTGGAGAATACTTCCACGTTCTCGAAGCTCTGTTTTGAGGCCTTCACTTTGCCAAAAGACCTCTTGGTGTTAACCTCGATGTGGGAAACCCTTTTGTGCCTCAGGGGCTGGGAGAGCAATTTCCGTCCTGCTTGGGGTAGAGACAGAAACGACGTCGTTGAGCAAAGAGATGGAGAGTTTGCTGAAGACAATAAGCTGCTCTGTGTTTTTGGGGTGCATGAAGGAGAGAAAACTGCAGAGAAAGCCATTTTTAAGGGTATTGAATCGAAATACTGAGTTTCAGTTTCTGATTTCATCACCCTTATACATATATATATATATATATATTTATGTCAATATGGTTTTTATTCTTTCCTAAATATTAGAAGCAAAGCACAAATCTTTATGAAGAAAAAAAAGCTAAGCAAAGGACAAAGAACGGGTATATCCTTTCGCCAGCAATGGAAGAAACATGCGTTGCACATGAATGCTCTAGTTTAGCGAAGAATGACCTGACTATTCTTTAACTGTTGTATCTTACAGGGCGAGATATATCGTTCATGGATTCTGAAGAACATTCAAGAAAGTTATTAACAATGGCCAGGAAATCCAACTGACTCAACGGAGACATAATTAAATAGACGAGAGTTTGGGTCAAATTTAAAATACCGTTCTGCCATTCCAGGCGTTGTGTTTTGCATAAAGCAAAGTCGTAATTTGTTTTTGCTCAGTGCAAGTCCGTTTTGGAATTTGTTCTTATATGCGTCTTGTTTAGTTGGCGAACTATAGATTTGGGATCTATAATATGAAGTTGTAGCAAAAGAATATAATTTCTTGTTGCTTATCTAATTCCCCATCCCTTACATTCACCAAAAAGAATGGGTACATAATTGACAAGGACTTGACGATCGAAAGATTCTGGATACTCAAAATACACGTATTGTACACTAAATCGAAATGAAATGGGCCACATGTTCACAAAGAACTAATAGTATCGAGAAAATGAAACGTACGTGAATAATAATAAACTTTTCATAGTCAAGCTGAGAAGCTGATGAAGCCTTTATCATCACTCTCGAAGAAGATAATCTTGTAGCTCTGATGAGGTCGGAGGAGGAGCTTCTTTGTTGCACAACCACGTCGTTTGGGAGGTAAAGAGTAAAAGAGTGGATTTGGTGAAGACAATAAGCTCTGCGCCTTGTGTTGGATGAGTTAGCAGAGTGTTCGATGGAATACTTGCAAGTCTAAACCTTATTTATGTCAAAATGATTACGTTGTTTACCAAGTGTTAGTCAGATCAAGCAAAATAAACTATGTACGGATCCATTTACTACTACTGGAAGGAAGCGATATGCTGTAAAGTTGGTTCTTTAGATCGATTCCTGAGACATCAAGTAAGACAAAAAGTAATCCATCTACTCCACTATCTTCAGTTCTATTGAGTTGCAACATAAACTAGATCTTATATTTAAAATTAAAGGTAGTAACTACTTAACCTCTTTAAATTCTGAAGAGTGTCTCTTAATTTTATGGATACTCTTGAAAACCTATGAAAGTTTTTGACATATATGTAATTATATCAGTTAGGCATCTGCTTGACGATATCATTTTCATTTGTCCCTGAAGTCTGAGACAAATTATTCTATTCTTTTATACCGTGAGACGAATTGTTCCATTCATAACCTACAATGATAGGAATCTTTAATTATTTACTAAACATAAACAATCGTCCAAAAGCAAACCGAAGGTCCTTTGCGTTACCAACGAGCAAACTCTTTTTGTAATAGTGAAGTGGGATTCCTTGTACTGTCCCAATTTTACAAGATATAGAAATCTGTTGCGAGTTGAAACACGTTGGAAGAGGAAAAATCTATTATAAATAAATTAGAATATAAAAAGTAACATGATTCTTTTACCTTTGTAACTTGTAAGTGTACCCCGGCATATTTATAACTAAACAAAGCAGAAAAGCCAATTCACATGGCATAATAGCTTAATTGTCACGATAGGCTGATAGTTGATTGGATGTGTTTGTCATTTTTTTTTAATTATAAATTTACATCAATTTTAACAATATGTAACTTACAAGTCAAAGGTAAGAATCATAACTTCACTGGGAAAAACCCATTTGTAAAACATCCTTAGAAACATGTTTATCCAACTTGTGAGATATCTCACCAGCTCTTGTAAGTTGCTACTCCAAAACCATGCATAACGGATATCCTGATTGTCGATCACATTATATATATTTAGTACTACAAAAGACTGATTGATACGATAGTCAAAAGCATTTCGTCAAAACAGGAATTAGACGTAATACGGTAATGTTTTATTGAGAACAAAAGCAAAAACACCAAATTCATGACGAAAACAAAAGGCAGAACATTTCATGATCTGCCAGGACAGACGGCGACGATTTATTTCTCAAAAGCCGTCGACAATAATCCGACGATAACCAAGAAGATATATTAATCAAGCAGTGGTGACTAATAAGGGCGTTTTTCGATATGGAGTTCTTCCTTGAAGATCCTGGAAGCAGCATCTTTATCCAGGTACCACACGATGTCTCCTTCTTCAGGCGAGATGAGCTTGGCAGGAAACACGCGTTGAGGAGCTTGTGGATCATATCGATCCATGAGAGCATAATAAACTGCGTTGGCATTAGCAGAACCAGCCACCACCATGGCGATTTTGGAGCTAGAATTGATGACCGGTAGAGTCAAAGTCAATCGGGTCTCATTCCCGTCCTTGACGTGAGTCACCCATCTCTCTTTCTCCCCAAGAACCGGATGATCCGGGATCAGAGAACCCACGCGTCCATCTTCCTCCATGCCCAGCAGCATCAGGTCGAATTTAGGAAGCCCTCTCCTGGATGTTGCTATCTCGTTTCTGTCAACCCATTGCCGGAGGTTCTGCTCATAACGTTCGGCTGCTTCTTGCGTAGCTGTTACGTCGTAGTCGATGGTAACTACGTTTAAAGTCCCAGCCGTTCGTGCTACCTGCAGAATATATATATATATATATATATATATAATGAGTACATTAATTAGTGATAGGTTTGTGGAAAGAATGAAAGTTGATAATACGTACCATGGTAAGAAACTCGTCGTAAACGAGCTTGTGGAGTATCTCGTTGGGCAGAAATCGCCTTTTTAACTGATACCCTGGCACGAACACTTCCTCTTCCACCCAGAAAAACTGCCACTTTGACCAATCTATGATATTGATGTATTCAGGTTTCAACAACCGCCTGAAAATCGAAACCATGTGTATATGTCAAATCTATATTCATCGGAGGTCGTTTTTCATATAGCAATATAATAATAATAATATAAAGCAAAACGCAGGGAAGGACCCGAGGAATTTGACGGAGGAGGTATCGGCGAGAGCAACGGAGAAGGATCCTTTCTCTTGGATGGATTTGTTGGAGAGTTCAACGATGTCATGAGCCAAAGAGTCAAGAAGATGCTCCTGTGAGAATACTTCCACGTTCTTGGTATATCTCTTCTCCTCACTGTCCTGTAAAGCCTTCACTGTGCCACACAATCTCCTTTTGGATTTCAGTGGTTGGTATTGGGATTTCCGGGTTGCTTGGGGTGGCAGAATCAACGACGACGTCGTTTGAGACACTGATGAGTGTGACCTTGGGACACACAAGGGCCTGTTTGGGACGCATAAAGAAGAAGTGAGGGAAACAGTGGACAAGGCCATTTCTCTGAGTGTTGGATAGTAAAATATATTTGTAGCTCTGGGTATTGTTTCTCATCACGATGTTGGCCGTATTTATAGCTCAATGTTATATTCTTTTATAGGTCTTAGAAGCCAAGTAAATCATATTCAAATCTTGGATACTTTGGCGAATATCACAAGCAACTTCATATGTTCAAAAGTTGATGCATGCTTTAGTTCACTTCATGGACATAGACTAAGAGATAAGAACTGAGATCGGTCAACTTTTTTCAAGTTGAAGCTATATATTCAGCCTCTTTAAATTTTGAACACTCTCACTAATTAATTTTATTGATCGTCTTAAAGCACTATGAACTTGAATTTATTTTTTCATGTTAATGTTTTCTGTTATCACTCTTAATTTTTGCAGAGACTTTTATAGTTTCAAGATTAAAATTACATAAAGAGAATATATTTTCAAGATAATACTACCTCCAGTCTTAATCATAAGACCTAGTTTATAGACTATAAATAAAGTCTTATATACAAACGAGGTCTTCTAATTAGAACGTGATGTAGTAATATGAATATTTTACCAAACCATGATGGAAAATAGTCTTGTTGGTCTATAGACTGGACATCTCCTATTTCACAGTTTGAGACATTATATGCCATTCTATTAAACACTGAGACAACTTATTACATCAATAGCTTATGTGATAGGATATAGTTTAATGATAATAAGACCTTGTATAGACGTATGTGTTATTTATTAACATTTGATTATTTACTAACCATGACTTCATAAACAATCCTAAAGGAGTTGGGCTAGCTGGTGATCTAAAAGAGAGCCCAAGCCAAGAATCAAGGGGACAGGTGTGGCTGGAAGCTGAGAGAATTGGATTGTCAAGAGAGTATTATTGGACCGATGACTTTGGACTTAGGGTAGGCAAAAGTGAAGATACATATAGACACAAAGAAAACCAGAAGAAGCGAGGAATGATTTTGGAATCTCTCCTCTCTCTGTGGCTCCCTCCCTTCCTCTGGAATTCTTTTTCTCTTCTTCTGACATTTTCTTTTCTGCGTATTTTTTATTTCTGAGTATGCTTGTTTCCATATTGTGATGAGAACAGTATAACATTTGCTTGATATTTGTTCTGTCATTATGTATACGTATATTTCTGAGTTTTGATTGTTACAAGGTACTGTATGTTACTAATAACTATAGCTCCTTTTGCGATCTATTTTTGGTTTTTAAAACAAAAGCTAGTTAGCTAATTTAGAAAGATTAATAAAATTAGTTAAGTTAGTTATTTGTAATAAATAGTTGTTGTCTTCTCTAAAATACTATTGTTAATCATGTGTATTAGTTAAAACTACCATTTGAAAAAACTTTTAACATGTTTAACTACTATAAGGACTATTTTAAGAGGAAAAAAAAGATAAATATGATAGACAAGACAAAATGAATTAAGATCTTATATTTAACATCAAATTAAATATTAAGGTGGTTCTTATATTAAATACAGCAGTTAGTAGTAGGGAAGTGGGATTCCTTCTACTGTCGCAATTTATAAAATATAAAATTCTGTTGCAAGTT